TGTATATAAATTGCTGTAAAAATAAATATACTTACTGGCACGTCCTTTTAAATTCACTGAATATAAGGGCCATTCTTGTAAAGGATAATCACAATTTTTTATCATATTATGAAGAGTATTTATATTTTCTCGTGTATAAGGCGGACTTAGAAATCGTGTAAAAAATTTTTTAGTCTGATTATTGTAATCCACCCAAAGAGTTGGAACAATATCGATTTTTTTAATTAAAGGTCTCCGACCTCTTGTTATAAATTCTACTAATGTGTACATATGCAAGTTCTCCTCACTGTCCATAATCGTATCTATAAAAATATATATAAATTATTCAAAATAGAACTGCAGTAGAATTTTTCTTTCAATGATAAACAATTAAGTAACTTTGAAAATTGAAAATTAATGATTGCGACCTAGAGAAAATTTTAAAGAGTGATATTTCTTGCTGTAAAAAGTTATCTTTGTTGTGAATAAAATAATAATAAATAGTAATCGATACTTTCGCATTCATTTACAGCAAAGAATAGACCACCCGTTGTGATTTCAAGTTAGAGAGATTATTACCTGCCTCAGTTTTATTCTCACTCATAGAGTTTTGTTAATCGAGATTATTATATGAATCTTTAATTTGCTTTGATCACCAAATAAGATTTTTCTGTAAATATAAATCGATTATTGAAAATTTGGTCTAATCTTTTTCTTGAAGCAATATAAATAATAATCTAACTAACAGTTTAGAATGATTTTTAATTACTTACTTGCAAATTTTTAACGCCCTTAAGATTGTCTTACATGTAGAAATACGATGAATATTTCACGCTCACATGCTTTCAGCAGAGCTTTCGTCATTTTACATGTTACGATAAAACAAATGATTTTCGAAAAAAAATGACAACAGTTTATATTAAATTCAACCATATATTCAATTTGTTGTCTAATATAATCGAAAAATTAAAGAAATTTAAAAATTAAAGAAAATTTTTACCGGTAATAATATATATAAATCCTATGTTACAAATGATATTGAAGTTATGCAGTTGAAGTAATTGTTGTTTATAATAATGGCATAACAAATAATCTCTCATGCCCATCTACTTTGAAGTTTAATTGCATCTTTATTAACTTGTATTTAATTTGATTCAAATGTATATCAACAGTTTTCCTTTTAATGTTATTTTTAACTTCAAATGTAAATAATTGATCAGAGTCGCAAGGATAGTTATATAACATATTAATTTTGTCATATTTTATCATATTACAATAAATATTTTCTTTTTAAAAAATATGGCTTATTTCCATTACTGTTCCACTATTCAAGAGTATCATATTGTTCGAACATTTTGATGTCAATATATATTGCTTATTTCAAGAATGTCTTGATCAGATATTTTACGTATTATTTCTTGTTCTTTAGGTAAAAAACATTGTTTTGTATATAAAGTTTTTTTTCATGCTCTCGCCGACAAAATTGTGATAGTGTACGATAGGGAGAACGTAAGATATTCTTAATTTGTTCAAGGTAAGATTCAAAATTATATGTATTTATTAAATTTATAGGACAATTCATAGTTTCAACGTCATCAACAGTATGACATAAATTATGGACATTTATTGTAACAAATTGTTTTTCATATAAGTCTTTAGCAATAGAAATAAAAATATTCAAATATTCTCTAGCATATTTAAGAAATGTATTATTCACTTCTGCATGTAACAAACGATATGCAACATGTAGTAATAGAAAGTGACTATATTTAAAATTATCTAAAATACAATGAATAATAGGCCAAATACGAGCAGACAATATTTAAGATGTATAATTTATTTGTTCATAAAAAAATTAATAACAGCGATACCGGTTTCAGCCTTACTCGGCCTTTATCAATCGCAATAACTAACACATAATTAATATTCTAACCGTAGTTGCTCATGAAAACTTAATATTATAAAATTTCATTTAATGTACTTAATATAAGCAGTCGAAGAACGCGTGGGGTAAATTGAGAAGTCATAAACTAAAATATTCCGCAGTCCGTAATTATAAAAAACGCAATTTTGACTTATATAACGATTGAAAACCTTGTCGAAAGTTGGACAGTCCTCGTAGTCTCTCGTAGGATATTCGTATAATCAAACCAGCAATCAGTATAGTCGATCATGTCGAGCAAAGAGCCATATTATCTGAATGTGCTGATAGCAAGCACCCGTATCTAATGAGTGAATTTATTTATGTAGATTTTAGACTACAAATTATTCTATTATATAAAGACAAATTATTTTGAG